GAGGCTGGATAACTACCCAACCTCTGTGAGTGATGTAAGAAAGTTCCTGCAATAAATAGATCTTATTGAAGAACCTAGCAGTATTCATTCTGTTCAAAGCTTCTTTATTTTTTCTAAAAATGTTCTGCTTTATTGTGAACGACCCAAAAGGAAGTATACAATAATGTGCCTGTATCTGTGGTGGAGCTGCCCTTACTCCTTTGGGTACCTTCCATCTTTGTAGGGATAAAGATCCAGAAGTTCTGCAAGCATCCACCTAAGCCATTTTTATAAGTAATCTTTTCCCATGAGCTTCTCTGAACCATAGAGTAAAGATCATGTATCAAGTCTAAATACATTGGATTGGTTTCCTTTGCTTTCTTGCTCTGAGTTCTAGCCATAATCCTCTCCTCAAGACCTCCAAACACCACTCGCTTTTCATTGTTTGGTCTCATCCATCTTCTTCTTCTACAACCCTACCTTCCAGTCAACTCAAAACCAAGCTGTCTGTAAGACCTCGCCAGACTGTCCCCAACTCTATGCCAACTCTATAGAGTTGGCTCTTTCCTGCTCCAAATCATTTTTATAAAACATTTCACATACTGTTAGAGAAGGAGAAATATTTCTCCCTACCTTCTATATTTCTAAACAATTTCCAATCAAGAACCCTTTACTTACATGAAGAATTATCACAAGAAATAATAACAAACTGTATCTCTAATGGCTCATTTCCAGGAGAAAAAGATTTATACTCTAATGATCGAAGCCTGATGGTCATTGGTCTATTTCACTGTGCCTTAAAATAAGGAAACAGGCCAACTGATGTTATTGGGTTGCTGCTTTTCATTTCCTGGGATCAGTGAGTTTCTCCTCCTGTACCCATGAGTGTGGCACACTGTTCTCTGTGGGCCTTATGCATTAAACTTATTAGTAGTGCATTCAGAATCATTTTTGTGAGTCCCATTATATAGGGTGGAAGAAAGGAATCCCCACCATGTTCTCAGACCTTGTTCATGCTCCCCAATACAATTTACCAGAAGCAATACTTAAGACTGCAGACTGCTTGCCCAGAGTAATAAATCAGTACCTCATTTCCAATTTAACTAATGTTCTAGTTTTAACAATTCCTCTAGCCCCTAAAATCCTATGAAAGGAGAGGTGAATGGCAATTCCCTCCCCGCTCATTCTCATTCATTCTCTCTCTCTCTCTCTCTCTCTCTCTCTCTCTCTCTCTCTCTCTCAGCATTTGCTTTCAAGTATTGATCTCTTTCAATGCACAAACTCTTTGCTTACAAACAGATTTGACAATATTTAAAGGCACGGATATCTTGCATTTCTTTATAACTCTATAATACCCACCACAGTGTCATCCCAGGTAATTGATACTCACTAGACCACTTTTTTAACAATATTACCCACAAGTAGATCTAAGCCTATGAATCACTAGCCATGCCCTTGTGCCACAATTCCCCAAGCCAAGCCTGGCTATCAAACATGAGCATCACCATCGTTGAGTTAAAAAAAAAAAAAATGAGAGTTGAGGGGGACATTTGAATTCCCAGTGTGTTTCATTTGTTTTTTCCATTGGCACAGGCAAAGAAATTTCTCATCCCCTGTCTGTGGATCTCAACACTTCAGAAACAATATAGATCGTATCTCTGGTCCATTTAATTGAACATAAAAATCAAGGTCACTGCAGCCATTTGGTCTCTGTGCCTTTCAAGCTACCGCATCAACTTGCAGGGAATATTTAGCTCTCCTGTCACCTACAGCTTAGAAACAAAACAAGTGGCATTAATAGGTCTTTAATCTTCTCATTAAAGCAGAGATATGGGCGGGAGATTGTGACGGTACTGCAATAAGCATGAGAAAAATATGTTTTCATGGTTCTTTCTAATAAGACTTAAGAAAACAAGAACACTGCAAATGCTATTGTCTCTTTCCCTTTACATAGAAAACTATATTTGAGAGAAGAAAGGAAACCATACATTCTGCTCATATTTTACTTGATTTCTTTTGCTTTGTATTAAGCCCATATTTGCTCTCCACCACTCTCATTACATCAAGGAAAGATTCACGAAGGAAAAACCAGAATCACTTTGAACTCTGAAACAAGAGGAACACAGTCAAATGCTTTGTGCAGGCCTAACCAGTGGCCTTTGAACAGGACCGAGATACATGTGCTTCCTATCAGAGAAGCCCAGATATCTAACAATCATGGCTTCCATATAAATGTGGACAGCCTCAGAGACTAAAACTTACAGCAGTCAGTTAGTCGCTCTGATTCACTTTCTTCCTTGATTCTGCAGAACATAAGCTAATGGTATTGGATAATATGATTAACAACTAATTTGTTGAATATTAGTGCTCTGGCTCACTTTGTCTTCTTAAGAAGAAGGAAGCAGTGATGAAATGAAAACCAGCCTTTTGTCTTGTATATTCTGAGATTTATTCTGAGTCATCAAAGTCATTAAGACATCCTGCTTAAATTGCCTAATAGCACAGATTAGAGGTCCACAAAGCCATTCCTCAGAGGCCTGGATTTCTCTGGGCAGGACCTACAAGGCTTGGACCCCCAAAACCAGATGATGACTGTCATGTATTTGCAATTACTGAGCATCTACTTTGCACTGAGTTCCCTATATTTTAGGTTTCAAGACTTGGAGATGAATGTCTTGAGTCTCTATGGAGATATCATCTAATGAGAAATACAGAAGCATGAAATAAGTGCTTTAATCAGTACAAAGGGAGAGGTGGAGAAGTGAATAGGTTTAACAGTTTGATGGCAAATGGCTCAGAAAGCATTGAAAGAAGTTCTGACCAAAATGTAAGGTTCGCAAGACTACCAGAGGTTTCAGGAAAATCTCAAGAATGAGCTCGTCAATCTCCCTTTTGCTTTCTTCCTAGGAGAGATGGGAAAATGAAAGCAAGGAAGTAAGGTGATTTTCCAAGGAACCCTGGGAATGCCAGTCAGCACCCCTGACCCATGACAATATCTCACTTCCCAGAAACTTGATTCCCACCCTATCTGCTCCTCCTCTCTGACCACAGAGTTTCTCTCCTACACAGTTAACTCAGCCCCTCAGATTTCAGTAGAGCATATAGATCTTTACCCCCACCAGAATACAGAATTCATGTTCAAACTCACTGTGTTCAAATCAATATTTTTGAATATATGCCATATGCAGCCTAAAAAAATATTTAATGTATATTAAGTCTTGCCAAGCATTTACATCATTAGCCTCTTATTTGGTCCTTATAGTCACCTGGAGGCAAGTCCTATAATCTCAACTTTATTGACGAGGAAGTAGAAACAGAGAATATTCTTTTTTATTTGTATTCCCTTTATTACAAATTCATTGCATGCATTTATTTTAACAGTCTATTTTTTTTCAAACATTGTTTTACTTACATAATCTTCTTTGATAGAATATTCATGTTATCTGTTGCTGCATAACAAACCACCTTCAAAACATAGTGGCTTAACATGACATGTGGTTATTATTTCTCATGCTGATGTGAGTTGCCTGGGACTCAGTGTGCAATTTTCTGTCTTGGGAATCTCTCATGCTGCTGTAGTCAAATATCAAGCTGGCACTACAGTTCCCCTGATGGCTTAACCAGGCCAAACATCCAAGGGGACTCCTTTACAAAGTACCTCCATGTGGCCTCTTTCTCCATCAAGACACTCAAACTTCTTCCATGGCAATTCACGGTCCCAAATGACCAAGGGAGAACTGTTAATCCTCTTGAAACGTATACCTGGAACTAAATTAGCATCACTTTGTATATACTGTACTGGTCAAAGCAGTCTCAGGCTAGCTCATATTCAGGATTCTACCCCTGGACAGGAGAGTGTGAACGAATATGTGGCTACCTTTCATGGCCACAGAGGAGAAAACAACTTACCCAAGGTCATGCTGCTAGCAATTGCCTGAGCTGAGATTCACATCCTCAGTTCACCCTGACTCCAAAGCCCAGTAACCAACACCTCTACTTTCTACCCAGTGGAGGCATTTCCGTCATGCAATCAATGTGGAACAAAAGTAAGCCTACCCAAACTGCTCCCTGCACAGGGAGAAGCATAACTGAAGACACAGGCTACCTTAGGGCCTTGGCCCTTCTCAGAGTCCCAGTAAAGCTATTGACCCCTATTTGTGGGTTTGGGAACTAAAGGCCCCATACCCTGAGTCTCTGAGTTCCTGTGATCCTGACATAGAAAGTACTGGTCTTGTAAAATATATCCACAAGTAATCCAGATTTCTTGTCTGAATTCCTGAATATGTCAGAGATAAGACAGGTGGAAACCCAAAGAGCAACCAAGCATTTTAATATGATATTAGGTTTTAGGCTAGGCCAAGTACAAAAGTCCCCTGGGGGCTTTATTTGAATCACACTGAGGGTCAAAGTGAGCATAGTTGGGATGTGGAGTTCCTCTTGGTGCTGTCTAAGAAGCACTCTGTTTCCTGGAGACTGGCAAGTAGTAATAATCAAACTGGCGGTATAACCAAAGATTTTATTAGCGGGTTATAGAGATGGAGTATGGGGCTATAGGGGCACAGAGCCAAGAGGGGTCATGTCTGAAGGAAGAGGTGGGAAGTGGGAGATGCACAGGGAAAGAGAGTAAAGATGTTGGAGGGAGAGCATCTCCCAAGGGGAATGGTTAAGTCTCCAAGAGGAGGCAGGGGGAGGAAAAATTCTGAGTCAGACTTGTTCTTTTTCCTTCTCTAAGACACCTGGCCCTGTTCATTCTTCCCTGAAATGACTCTAATTCCTGGCACCAGTCAGATTCCTTGGTATCTCACCCATGAATAGGGTACAACATTTCAAGCAGTTTCCTCCCCTCCAGCTTGTACCATCATGCTCCCTTATCTCTCTAGACCAGCATCTTAGTGGCCCAGGTTTTCATTAATCATTAATCAGCCATCCCTCATCTGTGGGGACGTCATTGCCTTCTATAAGAACCCTCTGTCCATTCACAGTCATTACTAGAAATGCACAAATTGCCACACACATTTTCATTTGCTCAAGGCCGGTTGTTTTTATAAGCAGTGGTGAAAACAAAATTCCATTATGTCAAAGTTAATTCCTCTGCAGCACATCGATAGATGCTCCTCAGAGGCAGTGCATTAGCCCAGCTGCAGCCAGTAGCCTAGAGGGATGACAAAATGAAGATTTTGGTGATGCATTCACTGTTAGAATCACAATAATGGCCAATCCTTTTATTTACCTGGGACTGCGTCATCTGGATGAACCCCAAAATGGGTCACTACCTACCTATGCTTCGTTCATCTAGCAGCTATAATAGAGTACCCATTAGGTAATCTCAGCCAATGTACCCTGCCTACATTTAAGACCAAAGAAATGTGACCTGAGGGATGACTCCCATAGAACTAATCAGCTCTGACTCACCTTCCTCTTTCCCATCAATCTGGTCTCCCAGGAATCCTATTTGGCCAGGGATCTCAGAGTTGCTGCCTACAAGCAGAAGCAGCTGGCATTGTTGCATGAGGGAGTTATGACGGTCACAAAGCCCTGCAGCATAGGAAGGCAAACGTGGATTCACTTTGCTGATGTGGCTTCCTAGCAGGTGAGTATTGGAGAGAAGCAGTGCCTTGTATTTTCCTTCTCACTCTGTGTGGAAAGAGAGGATATGTCACTGGGAACCTGATGAGAGAGGGAAAGAGTGGCAAGACAGGAAGGAAGGGACTGCAGAAGAGGAGACCACAGATCGCTCAACTATTCACAAGGGGAAAGCTGCGCCTATTAATTACAGAAAATGGAAGAGTTCTCCAGATACAGGTTTCCTTTAGGGTGTGAGGGAAGCCAGACGCTAAAGACTGAGGAGGGAGTTCAAAGCATCTTCATCCTCCACATCTTTGCCCTCATCATTTCACTCCATGAATTCATTTTGACCGGGCAATAAGTATGTCATTTCTCTAACCACCTCTTAATGGAGGTTCCAATGTCACCCGCTCATTGGAGTAAAGACGGCTAACGATATTTGTCAAGGAAGAATGACTTGCATCCATCAAAGAAAAAGCAACTGTGGGGAAAGAAATGTTATTTGCCATTTCCAAAAGGATCTTGGTTGGCTATTTACAATGGGTGAGGCCACTTGATCATTTATCACTTCCATATGTCCCTTTCTTCATAAACTTGGTCAAGGTTGCCATTCGGTTAATATCTGTGGTCTCTGAGCCTAGTGAGGTGAAGAACGGTGGAAAGGAAGGATGATGGATGACAGGCTGCGGATGTGCACTGAGGCTGAGAGATGGCCAACCTGTGCACTCGAGTCTGTTGGCAAGTGGAAAAGGCATAGGTGCCACGTGGTGGCCAAGAGGTGACCACGTGACCTTGAGAAAATTGGGTATGGAAAATTCAGCTGTAGAGAATCAGAGAGAGTATTTTGGGAAAACTCAAGTAATTTGAAATCTGCCACCCAGGCTGTCTGTGGTCACTCCTTGCAATATTTAAAAGTAATTGAAACTGAACTACTGAAGGTGACCTGAATTCCAAAATCTAACAAAGAGAAAGGAAGGTTTTCTAGAAGTTGTGGAGATTTAAAAGTTCCTTAGGTTATTTGCAATGTTAGGACTTGAGGTGCAGTATTAGGGTGTGATTTCCATGACTAAATCATCCTTTTCACCTTTTCCTACTGGAATTCTTATCAGAAGGAGAGTGCTCAGAGCATACTACAGTTTTGTCATAACTATAATAGAGCCTAGGGGCCATAAAATGCAGGACTTTGGGGGAAAACCAAATTAGTGCACATGGCTCAAGACATGTGGCCACTCATATCTTCCCAATGTACAGCTTGATTCCTACATGTGTAAGCATGCACTCAAGGAATAAGAAATATGGCAGAATTTCAAAAGAGATCTGGAGTCTATTGAAGGATGCTGGCCAATATGTCTCCAGAGACTCAATCAATACACTGCACATTGGCAATGTTTCCATGCCAGAGAGTCAGTGTAGAACAAGAAGGGGATGAAGAAAGTGTTCAAGTATTTGTCAATACTGACCCCAAATAAGGAGCGGGCTGGGTTTATTGCTCTCTATTCAGAATGTTGAAACATGAGAAAATGCAAAAGTCATAAATACAAGAAAATTCAAGACAATGTATACATCCGGAGATTGCTTTACTGAGAAGTTCCTTTCACAAGAGCCTGTATGACCGGCTAAAAGGGCAATAAGGCATGAGATACCTTATTAATTCCACAGAAATTAACTTGGGCTCAAGTTAACGTAACAACCAAGGAATTATTACAGGGAACAAAAAATGCAGCTGGTTGGGATCTCTTACCATCTAGGACCAACAAAGACTTTTAGGAATTGCTATCATTGGGCAATGAAAGGCTGTGTCTAGCTCTCTTAGCAACTGAGCAGAACTTAAGTAGATCACTCCAATGTGGATAGTGACAGCCGATGTCTTCTTGTAGTTGAATGAGGACCTTCACCCATGGTTCTGTGCTTTATTTGACTAATTCAGAAGAATTTGATGCCTTTAGAATATGCTGACTGCCCCGAGTTCAAGAGCTTGGATCATTAACCTGAGAATGATGATGTCCTTGGACCACATGCTATGTCCTCTGTGTTCTGGCCATAACAGAAACAAACAACAGTTGAGTATAGCCAAAGCCATTGAACCAGCCTAGGTATCCATCGACAGATGAATGGAAAAAGAAAATGTGGCATATATACACAGTGGAGTTTTATTCATCTGTGAAGAAGACTGAAATTATGTCATTTTCAGGAAAATGGATGGAACTTGAGAACATTAAGTTAAATTAGCCAAACTCAGAAGGTGAAGGGTCATATATTTTCTTGCATATGTGAAAGTGTTATAGTTAAAGCTTTGTCCCAGGGTTTCATAAACTGACTTCCAGACCACTCACTTATAATCGAATCAAGCCTTTATTGAAGCACACCGGTGGTGGCTGACCAGAACATAAAGCTGTTCCCCTGATCAGCCCCCAACAACTGTAAGGGCACTCCTTATAAGCCTGAAAACCGCAAAAGGTATGTTCGGGGGTCTAGCCAATGCAAGCAAGCCAGGTTACAGAAGCGGGACAGTGCAGTCAAGTGGAGGGAAGCCTAACCAATCACAGTTAGCCCAGTCACCCCAGTTACAGAAACAGAGCCCCGTTACCCTAGTTACAGAAACAATGCCCCATTAGGTTGTTCCGTGTTCTTTAAGGTTTCTATAGCAAAAGGAAAAGAACATCTTGCCCCAGTCATGACTCTTCTACTTGTCATGGTTGTTCTACAGAATGAAGTCATAAAACAAAATGGAATCACATTTGCTCCAACTATCACAAAAGTTAAAGAGGGAAAAGGAAAAGAAAATTGCAGAGAATCTCAAGAAAAATTAAGAGAGATCTGTAGAGTAGAGGAAAGGGACCAGGAAGAGGGAGGGAGGAAAAGAAAGGGGAAATACTGGGGAATTATCCTGGCCATATTATATGGTTATATTGTGTGCATGCATGAAAACATAATAACGAATCCCACCATTATGTACAATTATAATGCACCAGTAAAAAAAAAAAAATCGTGAAAAAACAGTTGAGTAGTCCCAAAACTGGCATCTAATACCTTTCTTCTTGTGACTTTCTGAATAAAGAAATGTGTAACAAAAGGAGCCTTCTCATAAGCACTATTTGGCAAATGGAAGAATGCCATGGTCATGGGAACTTGTTTGAGGAGGGCAGAAAAAGGACAGACAGGTGACAAAAAGGAGGAGGAAGAGAAAGGGAAAATGAAACCCCTTTGACCTAACAGCTCCATTCTCACCTCTTCAAGTTTTCAAAGGTGTCTCAAGGTCACTTTGAGGGGTAGAAGGAGGTGGAGTAGGCAAGGTTCCACATCCCACTTCAATCACAGCGTTCAATTTCCATTTTATAAGTGGGAATTTATGCCAGATTGCATTTGGCAAAAGGAGAAAGTCTTCTGAACAGCACTGTTCTAGAAAGGATAAAGAATTGGAATTCCTAATATAACATGAAACAAAATTCTTGGCCTCCAGCATACCCAATTATATAGATTGACTCAAGCATAACTGGAATTAGAACTGCTAGCTTCTGTCTTATTTACCCTCCCTTCCCCTTCCCATGCTTCAACAATCCCAAGGTCCTGTGATATAAGGAAAAGAACCCTGACCTCAGACCCAAAAGACTGAGTGAAGGTTTGCTTCTGTTGTTTATCAGGGATGTAACCTGTGCTAATCACTCAACCTCCCTGAACCTCCACTTTCTCAAAAGGACATTAAGATTCACACTCTCACTACCTTGCAGGCTGTGGGAATCATTTACCTGAAAGAATCTTTTCCTCTGAGAGAACATTATGCATATTCAATTTGCTATATCTTGCAGCACCCGTGCATTTTCCACTGGTCAGTGAACTCTAGAACATATTTCAGTCAATGAATCCCTATTCAAACGGAACCCAAACTTCTGCTACCTGCAGATAAACTTGGTGGGTGAATGAGCTAGACTCCTAAGTTTGGGACATAAGTGGGGAGGGAACTTCAAAGTGTAAAGAATTTGGAGATAGATCCCAGTAAATTCCATCAGCCTTATGTGTAGTCTGAAGACCACGTCAGTGAGAACTAGAAGAGAAGTCCTCCAGCAGCCCTCTGAAGGAGACCTGGCTGAGGGTCCTTCTGTCCACTGACAGCCAGGAGCAGTAGCCTCCCTGCTTCTTCTTTCTGTTGCTCAGCTTAAGAACATGCCCCAGCCAGGTGCCATGGCACATGCCTGAGATCCCAGAGGCTTGGGAGACTGAGGCAAATGGATCGCAAGTACAAAGCCAGCCTCAGCAACTTAGCGAGGCCCTAAGCAACTTCGCAAGACCCTGTCTCAAAATATTTTTTAAAAAAGGTCTGTGGATTTGGCTCAGTGGTTAAGCAACTCTGAGTTCAATCCCTGGTACCAAAAAGAAAAGGAACATGCCCTACAGCCACTGAGAGCACAGTGCTTTTTATGCCCTGTCCATTCAGGTTCACTGCCCCAAGCCTTGACAGCCAAGAGGATGCAGATAGAAGGCAGGACAGCACAGTGACTATGAGGTTCAAGAAGTCCAGAGCATTGGTCATAAGATTCAAGAAGAAAAAAAAAGAAAAGAAAAGAAAAAAAGATGGCTGACTTCCTCAAGGATCAAAAAGGAAAGAAATTGCCCTGTTGCTATCTCCCACACATTGTTCTTAGATATGCAAATACCAGGACTGCAAGTGGTCTGGATTAGCAGACCTCAACAATGCCTCCCACCCCCCCACACACACAAGCCTCTCAACAATTTCTTAAGCACCAGAAACCCCAGCCCAAGGTTATCAAAGCCCCTTGTCCATGAGTGCTCCTGATTGCTCCACAATCCACAGCAGCTGCAGATTTAACCGTGAAAACATCACCAAATGCTGCGAGCAGTCTGTTTTTAACCCATAAATTAAACACAGGCACAAATGCAAGGCATTACCGTAAAATGGAGAAGTACATGTGGCACTTTGAAATGCTGTGCCTCAGGCAACTGTGTATCGTATAAATCACTGTCCCCATCTTAATTAATGACATTGAGGAGTAAACATGTTCACAGAAAGAACCAATCTCTAGATTGTAAAATTGGAACCAGATCACTGAACA